CCTCCCCTCCCCCCCCTGCGGTGTCAGTCATTCACAGCCCAACTTTTTTTTCCTTCCTCATTGTTAGGTCTCTAAGCCACATCTTCTCATTACAAAATTCAGGGATCTATTACAATACCCATGTTCACTTTTAACTATGCCTCATGATTAAATCAGCAACATAAAAGAATTTATTTAGAATGGGTACCATAGTCACAGCATCTTTCTTGAGATGTGATGAAAATACACTATCACATGCATTTACCACCTTCAGGCAGACAGAACGAAGAAAAGCAATATTTCATAGCCCTTGTTTTTCCAAGTTTTTTTTAAACTAATCTTCAGTTCACAAAACAGCATTTTTATAAAAAGTAAATAAAATAACATCAAATTCCTTTTAGCGAGAATAGATTATATTAGAATGATTTTTTGAGAAACCGCTGCTGAATATTCCAGGAATAGAATAATGGTGAAATTTCATCAACAAGATTCTTGGATTTTATTGTGATTTCATTGTATCAGGCTCCTCAACCAATGAATAAGATCTTAAGATCCAAACGAGAATGGCCATCTTGTTTAAAGATGTCTGGATGGCCATCTATAGAGGAAGATGTAGCACTAGGCAGGAAGCTAATCTAGATGCGCAACAACCCTTTCCCCCTTTCCTTCTGTGATTCTATGATCAGACTGATATTCTCATTCATAGTGTCCCACTTACATAACTTTGTTGCTCTCTAGTGTTCCATGCTTGAAGTAACTCCTCAAGCTCAGCTACTGGGTCTACAACTTGCTGGCTCTTGTCCCTTAGGAATTCTTTTATGATCTGATCCTTTTGCTGAAGGTGGAGGTGCAGGGCTTCTACGGTGTCCCTCTGTCCAGGCTCCAGATTGCATAGCAGTGTTGCTGAAAGGTTCTGAGATAACAGAAAGACAAGCCTAGAGGAGATCAGCCTTCTATCCCCTACACTTAGCTGCTGCCCTAGCTGGAAAACATTAATACATGGGCAAACAATCATAATACATAATACACATGCAAACAATTGATACAAACTCAAGGTAAACCGCTCCAAATTCAGTGGCAGAAAATACAACTTCAGCAACAGAGTGGTCACTGCCTGGAATGCTCTACCCAATTCCGTTGTTACATCTGCAAACCCTCATATCTTCATCCTTAAACTGTCTACTATGGACCTCACCCCATTCCTAAGAGGTCCGTAAAGGGGGCATGCACATGCGCACCAGCGTGCCTACCATCCCTGTCCTACTGTCCCCATTTATTTGTATTCATTTCCTTTGTCCACATGCATGTTTATACTTATACCTGCTATCCTGTACAGGTGCTGGTCGCTACCTATAAAGCCCTACATGGCATCGGACCTGGGTACCTGAGAGACCACCTCCTGCCGATTACCTCCCT